AATTGAACCAGGGACCTTTGCATTACGAGGCAGCGTGTATACGCACTGTGGTATTCCGACCTCCGTAATATTTCAATTATTTTAATGCTATTCAAACGGGATATCCATAGCTGGCGCGCGCTTATCTTTGAAACGGATCTATCGAGGTGAAGCAAAGCGAGAGATGCGTTCCAGAGATAAGAAACTTCGAGTCGAAAATAATATCCATCGCTGGTGCGCGCGCTTATCTTTGCAACGGATCTATCGAGGTAGAGCGAAGCGAGAGATGCGTTGTAGAGATAAGAAACTTCGAGTGGAAAATAATATCCATTGCTGGCGCGCGCTTATCTCAACACGAGTGCAACGACAGCAAATTTCACAATCAACAGCATAACAGATAAGGATGGAGGTTATCGAAACTACAAAAAACCCAACAATTTCACAACCAGCAGCATAACAACAGATAAGGATGGAGGTTATCGAAACTACAAAAACCCAACAATTTCACAATCAGCAGCATAACAACAGATAAGGATGAAGGTTATCGAAACTATAAAAAACCCAACTAGTCGCATGAACAAAATACGTGATCAGAATGACGCAAGAAATTATCGCTATCAGCAGTCGTTTTAGATGGGTTTTTCCAGAACATCCACATCGCTAATCAGCAAGTCACGTGGTATCTCCGCCAGCGTATAAAAGCGACGACGCAGCGCAACATCATTCACACTCGAGTCTGCAATCGTGAACGTTGTCTCTTGACCAGCTCCAGCCAAAACATCACTGTTTGTGTGTGTGTGCATTAATAGCAATAATAGTGAGTACCTCTTTATCAAAGTTCTTTTTTTATTATCAATCCGATATTACCTGACTTTTTTATTCCATTTTGAGTTTCTTAGTTTTATATTATCGGCCCTTTCATTTTATTTTGAAAATAATACAACCTAGTGCTCATTCCGCATCAACCTTTTTCATTCCAAGATTTTCGAGAGACAATTCAATGAAAGTGTCAATGATCAATCGCAGATTGATTTTATTTCTAGTTTTATCGAAAATAATCCATCCTAGTATCAAGCTCATCATGACTTTGTTGGACTGCTGATGTTTTTTGTCCTTTTTCTTCCCACCAGATGGATATTACTCAAATCAACGCAGCTTCTCTGATTGCTCCAAAACAACAGAAACCAACCGTGAAGTTGGTGGATCTCCTGCTCGGTCAACCCCAACCAATCAAGACAGCGAAAGTGGTCACCACAAAATTTGGTAAATCTGTTCTGATTGAGTTGGAGGACTCTGTTGTGTCCCTGCCCAGTCGTGTAACTGAGACCTATTCCCCCCACATTGGATATTTCGGTTGCGGGAAATATTACTTGGTATTCAGAGGAAAGGTGCAGACTGGGAAGGCCAATCCAGCAGCTTCGTTTGAAATTTTGGAGAATTAAAGTAAGCTACATTTGTTTTATTTGGGTAAAATATCATTAATACAGCAATGGAGAGCATCAATAAAACCTTGACCAAAGTTGACGAAACTCTTTTATTAATTAGGAAAAATTATTCGAAACCATTGGCACTTTTTGTATTGAAATCAAACCGTTCACACATACGGAAATGTATTTAAGCATTGAAAAGAAATACTTTTTCGATTGGTTTGAAGCGTAAAATTCAGACTAAGATCAGGGAACTGAAACGGATGAGATTTTTCATCAAAACTATGAATAGAGGACATGTTGGCTCCGGCCTGAAGCCCTATATTCGTTGGATTGATGTTAATTCAATCTTTGCGTCGAGAGTGCAGACCGGTCTTATTCTGATTTTGAGACATAAGGAGATTATCGACTTTTTGGAAGATTCATTTAGATTGGTAAATGAGAGAATTTCAAAAATTTTGGGGCGCTTTTCAATGCTAAAAGTCAACTTTACATTCTCCGGTGACTTCATTAAGCAGTCAAATAATGGGGAATTGGTTGACCGCAAACATTTTTGTACTCCCAATGCCATCGTGGACGCAGGAACTAACCTAGCCGATTGGTTCAAAATCAATGCGCTAGATGTGATCCTTAATAAACTTAGCGAATTTCCCGAGAAAAATAGCAGGTGGGCCTTGAGCGGAATTATTTCTCTGGAGGTTGCCATAAATAAATATGGAATGGGCAATGGCTCATCATACATCAAATTGCCAGTGCAGATTCTGAAAAAGCAGGCTTGCATTAACGTTCAAAATGATGATGAAGCATGCTTTTTTTGGAGCATAGTCAGTTGTTTGTATCCCGCTAAATTGAAGTCATATAGAGTGAATAATTATCCTCACTATTCACAAGTTTTGAACATCAAAGGGTTAGACATACCAATGAAACTGTCCCAAATCACAAAATTTAACAAAAATGAATGATATTTCGGTGAATGTTTATGCGTAAGAGTTGACAGAAGTCAACGAACGAACATTTTACACTGTCGTACACACCAGACTGACTAAGCATAAATCCAATCGACACGTTAATTTGCTATTAATTCAGGACAAATATTTTCCAAGATTGAATGACTATGAAGCTCCTGCCGATATTGATAATGTTGAGGAAAACGTTAACGTAAAATATCACTATGTCTGGATTAAGGACCTTTCACGACTAGTATCAAGTCAACTCAACAAAAATTGTAGAAAGAAATTC